TTTTTTTTTTTTTTAATTTGTAAAAATTCAAGTTTCTGTACCCAAGTTGTTATATTATATGTACGGTTCATTTTGGAAAATCATATGACATCTTATCCTTAAGCGGATTTCTTTCGTATCCTCTATAATTCAAATTCAAAACCTCTACTTTATTAGAGACTTAACTTGAATTTTGATACCAATTAGATACATTTTATATGATCTACAATTTTTTATTAATTTTTCGATCGCACATTTCATCAAATCTATTAAAAATCTTATTTTTAGCTAAATAAACACAGAAGCATAACAATAATAATAATAATAATAATAATAATAATAATAATAGGACCTGACTAATCAAAATGTTTCTTGTGTTATTGTAAAAGATAACTCTGTTGTATCGTTAAATTCCAATCTTCAAGTACCTAGATTCATTATAATGAACCCTATCGTTTTGCACGATCTCACATTGGCTTGTTAGGTAATGTATATAAACTGTTTATAATAGTCAAATAACTTTTATTTACACATTACATGAAATTCACGATTACTATTAACTTATTCACTACGCATTTTATCTATTTATTATTTAAATCAATTATAAAATACTCCTAAACTAGCGTAGCACGTTTTGATCGAATATATAGTCTTGTATTAAGTATAATGACGAAAATGATTTATTTAAATTAAAAATTACATTGCGTTATGATTTGTATTTACCTGTTTATTATTGGGAATTTTATAAGTTTTTTTTTTGGTTAAGAAATTTTGTACATTCATACCTAGCCTAGCCTAGCCTAACCTAACCTATTATAATTAGTAATAAACAACAGCTTGTACGTAAAAATAAATTTCTATATACGCATGGTAGGTAGAATTGAGACAATTTTTTCCAATTAGAGAGAAAAAAAATTCTATAATATTCTCATTCTTGTATGGATTATTATAAGATACGGTTGACATTTATGTTTTGCATCAATAATTGGTGTAGTGTTATGGATAACACCTATCTTATTTATTTATTTTTGTATTTTTTTCTTCATCGCGTTGATCAAATTTAATAATAAAAAAAGGGCACGTCGAAACAAGCTATGGAGTTAATTACCACTAGTAAAATATATCAATATTACAACCTTGTAGTGAATGAATGGTTGAAGTACACTCCATAACAAATTCGAGAGTCTATGAATTTATTTCGATCAGTTGAACTTTCTCGAACTATTTCTTTTTTGGGAACGAAAAAGATTTGTACCGAAATAACAGATGCGTACACTTTTACGTGTCAAACTAAAGATAAATCCAAGGATTTTGGTGCAAAATTTTAGTTAGTAGTCTATTTTATGATCTAGTATTGTCAAGCTTAGGTTAACTAGTATTTCTTAGATTTTAACCTCATACGGCTTTACATGTGCAATTTGTGTTGCTTTTTTTTTTTTAGGTAAAATATAGTGGAAAAATTCAAACCAAAAAATAAACATTTTACCAATTTTCAAACAAATATTTGTCATAGGCGGTTTCTTAAAGTCCTCAAACTATAAGAAATAATTAGATAAAAACAAAATAACCTTTCACTATCTCACTCACAATTTTAGTATATATTAAGCTTATGTTTGATTTAGCAAAACATCATATCTTTAGTGATTTATTTTAAAAGTTGATGAAATATGTGATTGAAAAATTAGTAAAAGTTGTGAGTCTTATAAAATATACAGTTAAAATTAATTATTGACTTCAACACATATAATACTTTTATAATTGAGTAGCTTGTGATATTCGATCTTTCGACATTTGCTTATTTTGATGCGTTATCCAGATCTCAAAATGATGGCAATTGATTTTCATTTTATTCAAGATCGAGTACAAAATATGAAGTTGGCATATATTGAAATGTCTTTAACCACTTAACCTTTTAAACATACTTTAAAATGGTATTAAATTTGTGGTTAAAGGAATAACTATTAGTTTCATAACTATTAGTCGTCATGTAATGCACGATTTAAAGTGTCACGAGAATTTGGAGCAACAACCATTACAAGTTCGAAAGTGTTAAATTTGTCAATTTACACAGAGAAACTTGAAATATACGGAGGCATGTACAAGTGTTACAAGAATATTTTATGACCATCACAGCGCAACCTAATTTAATTTGATTTTAAATTACAATCATCTTTGTTAGACGTCATGTAACGCATGGTTTAAAGTGTCACGAGAATTTGAGGTGAATGCTCTTTCAATTTTAGAATTGTTAAATTGAAGGGGTCTCGCTTTTGTGTCATCGAGAAATGAAAGTTGTGAAAAAAGTTGTTTGTATATGAGCTAACATCCACAATGTAAGAAGACACGTACAAGGGTTACACATTTTTTTATATATAGTAATCACATGTTCAACACATCCCTAATATAATTTGCCTTTGCCACCATCTTTATAGGTCATCTTGTAACGCACGGCTTAAAGCGTCACGAGAATTTCGAGGTGAACACCGGTTACAATTTTAGATCCATTAAAGGAAAAAAGAATTTACTTTTATCATCAATAAATGAATTCCATAACAGTTGTCATTATGTAAAGAAATATAATAAAAACACGCAATGTAAGTAGGCATATAATGTATGTTCATGTAGATCTAGATCACTAGAGATCATCTATAGAACACAACTATGCAAAATGCCTAAAACCTCCTATACATCCATACGTACATTTGCACATACATATACACATATTTATTGTAAGCAAAAAAGTAGAAGCAAAAAACTTAAAGAAATTAGGTTAATGTGTGTTATTTAAGGAGTACATTGTACAGTATATTGCTGTAAATGTCACAGGCAAATTATACGAAGCACGAAAGTTGTATGTCTATGTGAATCAAGGGAAAACAAAAATGCCACAAAATTAATTCCCATGTCAAAATATTCACAATCAATTATCAAACCCATCCATTTGCAGTTTTTTTTTTCGTTGTACTTTTAAACACTACAAGGTAGACCCCACCCTCAACCCCCCTCGCACCCCACCCCATCACACTTCATCCTCCTCCTCTATATAAACCTCCCTTCTCTCTTTCTCTCCCCCAGGTCATAGCCAATTTTCTCCCTCTCTCTCACAGTCTTTTGCTGCATAATAATATTTTCTTAACCATGCCTGAGGCACCAATGGAGCAACAGAAGGCCACTGACTACAGTGTGGCTGAGAACAACAATAAGACTCTTGAGTTCATTGAAGATGTGACTAAAGAGGCTGATGATGTTCAAAAGAGAGTTCTTGCTGAAATACTCTCAAGAAATGCCCATGTTGAGTACTTAAAAAGGCATGGACTCAATGGGATTACTGATAGAGATACTTTCAAGAAAATCATGCCTGTTATCACCTATGAGGATATTCAGCCTGAAATTAATCGTATTGCTAATGGTGATAAATCCCACATTCTCTGTTCACAGCCCATTTCAGAGTTTTTAACTAGGTGTGTTTTAACATTCTTGAATATGTTATTTTAGTTGTTTTAAAGAAGGATTTTTCTATTTATTTATTTATTTTTTTCATTTTCTTTGTGCGTTTTTTAATGCAGTTCTGGGACATCTGGTGGGGAGAGGAAACTGATGCCAACCATTGATGAAGAACTGGAGAGGAGATCATTGCTTTACAGCCTTTTGATGCCTGTGATGAGCCAGTTTGTTCCTGGTTTAGACAAAGGCAAAGGAATGTATTTCTTGTTCATAAAATCTGAGTCTAAGACCCCAGGTGGGCTAGTGGCACGCCCTGTTTTAACCAGTTATTATAAAAGTTCCCATTTCAAGGAGAGACCTTATGATCCCTACACAAACTACACCAGCCCAAATGAAACCATTTTATGCTCTGATTCTTACCAGAGTATGTATTCTCAAATGCTTTGTGGCCTTTGCCAAAACAATGAAGTCCTTCGAGTTGGGGCTGTTTTCGCCTCGGGTTTCATTCGGGCAATCCGGTTCTTGGAAAACCATTGGTCCCTTCTTTGTAATGATATTAGAACAGGGACACTCAATGCCCTAATCACTGATCCATCGGTAAGACAGGCAGTGATGAAAATCCTCAAACCCGACCCCGAACTTGCGAATTTCATTGAACAAGAATGTAGTAGACAATCTTGGCAGGGGATTATTACTAGGTTGTGGCCAAATACTAAGTATGTTGATGTTATTGTGACAGGGACAATGTCACAATACATCCCTACTCTTGATTATTACAGCAATGGCATCCCTCTCGTGTGTACTATGTATGCCTCTTCTGAATGCTATTTTGGTGTCAATCTTAACCCACTTTGCAAACCTAGTGAAGTGTCTTATACTCTCATTCCCACCATGGCCTATTTCGAGTTCTTGCCTGTGCACAAAAATAATGGTACAACCAATTCTGTTCCAATCCCCAAATCCCTCAATGAAAAGGAACAGCGAGAATTGGTTGACTTGGTTGATGTTAAGCTTGGACAGGACTATGAACTTGTTGTCACCACTTATGCAGGTAAAACTTATTAATCTTCCTCTCTTTCTTTTTTTTTTCCCAATCTTAAATGGATTAAAAATTAGTAATCTGTTTGATTATTTTAATTTTTTTATTGCAGGGCTTTATCGTTACAGAGTTGGAGATGTTCTTCGAGTTGCTGGATTCAAGAACAGTGCCCCTCAATTCAACTTTATTTGCAGGAAAAATGTGGTTCTGAGCATTGATTCTGATAAAACTGATGAGGTTGAGCTACAAAATGCAGTGAAAAAAGCAGTGAGCCATCTAATACCATTCGATGCACATCTCATCGAGTACACGAGTTATGCTGACACCACAAAAATTCCAGGGCACTACGTGCTCTACTGGGAGCTAAGTGTGAATGGCTCCACCCCGGTCCCTCCTTCAGTTTACGAAGACTGTTGCCTCACCATTGAAGAGTCCCTCAACAGCGTCTATCGTCAAGGCCGTGTGTCCGACAAATCAATTGGCGCTCTCGAAATCAAGATTGTTGAATCCAGGACCTTCGATAAGCTTATGGACTATGCAATTAGTCTAGGGGCCTCGATTAACCAGTACAAAACGCCCCGGTGTGTGAAATTCGCGCCGATTGTTGAACTTCTGAACTCCAGGGTGGTGTCTTGCTATTTTAGTCCGAAGTACCCCAAATGGACTCCTGGCCATAAGCAATGGATTAATTCTGATTAAGGACATTTGTGCACCTTGGTAACACCAAAACAATGAATGTTTTTAGGTGAACTAATCATTTTAATGCTCTCTCTCTCTCTCTCTCTCTCTCTCTATTTATTATGGTAGAATCTGAAGGATCAATGAGTAGCAATGTACAAAAACAGTTCCTATTTCAAGGAAGGCTCTTTGTTTTATTGTCAAACTTCAAGTGTGCCAGCTGTGTATGTTTGCAAATCTTGATACATTTTGATTCTTGTGGGAGTTTCTGTCTTATTTCCAGCCAGAAATCCTGCTCACTGAACTCTCATGGAATAGGCACTAAAACTGTAAGTTACAAGCATGTTTGGCCGTGCTTAATGAGTCGAATTTACTTTTTAAGTTACTTTTTTTCAAGAGTACTTTTTTGATTTGTAGAATTTACTTTCTAAGAAAGTTATCTTTATGCACAGTCAAACTTGGTCTTATCAATTCTGTATGCATATCAAAAGTTAACTTTATGTCTCTTTTATTTGAGCATATGTACTGTTCTTTAGCAGCATATAGCCAATATTTACTAATCTCGTGTCAATCCGTTCACTTAAAAGTAGATTAATCAGCAAAAAGCCGCCGCTTAAAAAATGTGGGGTGGGGTGGGGTGGGGTGGGGGCTCTATACAAGTCGCCCAATTATAAATTTTGTCCATGGTCGATTGTAAATAAATTTTATAAAAAGTAATTTTTTCAGATTGCATGGTTAATAAGTATGAAAAAGCTTCTATATTATGCATAGAATTATTTGATTGAAAGAATACGATTGAAAATGAGTTTAGGACAAAAATGAGCCCAAACGAGACCTTATTTAATTAAAGACAAATGAATGGATGACTTCATTTATCCTTTTTTAGACCCTAAACGAGGGCCTTGCTTAGCTAGGTTACACAAAAGTTCTGGTGGTGGGTTGGCTAAAACATTTCAATTTGGAAGTTCATTCATTTGAACTTTCAAGAATTTAGTTTACCCTACATTTTCTTGTGTTTAGGGTTTTTGTTCGAGCCGACTCCATTAATCTTGTTAACTTTACTTACATTGTTGAAGACATTTAAATAATATATATGTCTATTTAACAATTTAAATTTATAGATCAATTAATTTATCGTGGTATGAAAACAGACAAAATTATGAATTCAAGTATCATCGTTACTCCTTTCGTAAAGGGGCCATAGGTGAATCTTTGACCGAAGTATGGCCATAAACGATTTTGCAGTGAAGAACGGATAAGATATATACGTGTGCGCGCGCAAAAATTGTTCCTGTCGAGCTCAATAAAAACACACACACAGAGACAGCTGCATAACAATGCTTCATTAAAGCTGTGATATCATGTTGATTTCTTAACTTACCTATGAAACAATGGCTTAGGTTTTTGTAATAATAAGCTTTGTCCACCTCAATTTTCTTGAAGTTCAAATTGAAAACACTGTCCAACATGCGGGTTGAAAACACGAGAAATTGTTACCAACTAGAGAAAAGGGGTCGTAATGATCATAGATACTCTGATACTTAAATTATAGTAAATTCAAACTCAGCGTACCTTTGCATCGCTTCTTCGTATTTGAATGACTTTAATTAACGGTTGTTTGGTGACACTTACCATATAGTCTATAGTAGCACAAGCGCAAAGCTCGTGGCCCCGCTTGAATTGACTCGTGGAGAGCTAGGGCTAAGAGTGCAACTTTTAGGCAACGAGACAGTTGGACCAGGAGCTCAAGCTCATCTTGGTAATGAGCCAAGTCGAGCCTATAGTTTGGACTCATGGGCACCGAACTAAGCTAGGTAATAGTGTACTACCAACACTTTTTTTTAATAACTCAGATGTTCAAGATTCGTCCGACTAATCCTGAGGAGTAGCGGCCTTCCCCATGGTTTGCCACCCGGGTTTAATCCGGATGTAATCACAGCTTATACACAATTGTGCCGGATATTCAGCGGTTCTCTTCCCCGTGGACCTCTTCCTTCCAATATAGATGTTGTCTTCCAATATTTTTTAAATGTTGTCTTCCAAAATAAATGTTGCTTTCTAGTTGTCGCGGGGATTCAAACTTTCGATACTCGGTAAAGAACCCTCCTACTTTACCACTGCGCCATGTCTGTAGAGGCCACCTACCAGCACTCTTGATTTTAGTGATGATAGTATCAAGGTCATCTGAATTACATCATTGAGGTGCTTGAGTGTCGACGTCCCTAATTTTTCTACAAATTGCCCCCAATAAGTGGACATATATTAAAGGAATACCAATATTCCAAGTACTGCAAGATAATTATGACAGGAAGATTAACCAATTTCCACATTTTTCCATATTAAATGGCCTACTGTTATATCATCTCAACAATAATGGAGTTGGAAAGATTAAAATGGAAAAAGCTTTTTGTTTGATAGAGAGTTAGTTTTTACTTTTTCAGACAATCCACCCAACAATGAAGGTGACAGCAATGAGCTGCTTGCTCTACTCTAAAGTTAATGATAATCCATAAAGATGAATAATTGGTGGAGAGTGATGGCTTGATTCGATCCATTATCACACCTACCAACACTTTTTTTTAATAACTCAGATGTCCAAGATTCGTCTGACTAATCCTGAGGAGTAGCGGCCTTCCCCATGGTTTGCCACCCGGGTTTAATCCGGATGTAATCACAGCTTATACACAATTGTGCCGGACATTCAGCGGTTCTCTTCCCCGTGGACCTCTTCCTTCCAATATAGATATTGTCTTCCAATATTTTTTAAATGTTGTCTTCCAAAATAAATGTTGCTTTCTAGTTGTCGCGGGGATTCAAACTTTTGATACTCGGTAAAGAACCCTCCTACTTTACCACTGCGCCATGTCTGTAGAGGCCACCTACCAGCACTCTTGATTTTAGTGATGATAGTATCAAGGTCGTCTGAATTACATCATTGAGGTGCTTGAGTGTTAACGTCCCTAATTTTTCTACAAATTGCCCCCAATAAGTGGACATATATTAAAGGTGGAATACCAATATTCCAAGTACTGCAAGATAATTATGATAGGAAGATTAACCAATTTCCACATTTTTCCATATTAAATGGCCTAATGTTATATCATCTCAACAATAATGGAGTTGGAAAGATTAAAATGGAAAAAACTTTTTGTTTGATAGAGAGTTAGTTTTTACTTTTTCAGACAATCCACCCAACAATGAAGGTGACAGCAATGAGCTGCTTGCTCTACTCTAAAGTTAATGATAATCCATAAAGATGAATAATTGGTGGAGAGTGAGTGAAACATCGTAAAGGATTGATGTGACCATGTTCGACAAACTTTTTAGATAAGTCTTACTATAAAGTTGATTATGAATTTCGTTTGTGTATCTTTTTCCCGTTAATTTTCAATTATTAGCTTAATTTGATTAAATGGTACTTATTACTCAGACTAATCAAGAATCCAGGGATATAAGAAGGGGCTTAGTGTGACCACGTACTTAATTACTAGTCAACGATTGATATTTGTAATTTGTGCTTGACAAGTTCGGGGGCTTTAAGAGTTCTAAACTTTCCGTGTCATTCGATGAAACCAATATGTTTCTTGTTGTATTTAAAATTCGATGAAACCAAATATTATACCAATTCTATAGCCTTATCCGTTTGCAGATACTCGAATGTTGATTACATCTTTATTGTGGAACATTAGTCAAACAATTGACGTGTTTTCGATATATTTACTTCAGATTACTTTGCTACTTGTATAAGCATAACATCAAACAATCAAATCAATTATATGAACTATATTTTGTGATGTCGGGTCCCGTAATGGAGATGTATGGATCATGACTATTCATAAGTTTACAAACATTTTAATTTAGAGAAATTTAGCTAAGCAAAGAAACAAATCAACCAAAGTTTCCGGAAATGGACCAAAGAGCCCACGTGGAATTGTCCCATTTTAGTTAGTTAAGGCCCGTAGTTTTTGGGTGAAGAAGAAGGCAATTTTTAAGTGTCACCACACACGTGTCTGACCTTGAAAAGACATTGGACGCTTGCACGTGTAGACCCCAGTAGAGGAATGTTGACTTTAAATCCCAACCCTCAAAACCCCACCCACACGTGAGGGATATCTCCTCTGTTTGCTTGTCGGGCCTCCACACGAGGCCCATTCAGGTTAGCTGATGGGCCCAATAATTTGTCACCAATAGTGGAAAGTGAAAATTACCCAATTCCCTACTTTTGGAGATTCAAATTCCAAAATCAGATTTTAAGGTTTAAGTTTCAAAAATCAGATATTTTATATATAGATATAGGTTTTTTATATTTAATTAATGTTAATAATAATATTATAAAAATTAATTTATAAAATAACTAAATATTTATAAATTAAACGTAACCACCAAAACGCATCACTCTCCTCTCGCTCTCTTCGTCCGATTTCGCCCGCCGTCGCCGCCCG